ACAACACACTGAATAGGATGTTTATTTTAAACTCATTCAAAACATGTCTTTTAGACTTATTTAAATTTTATTATATATCATACTTCTGTACATTTTAAAATGAAAATATAAGCAAAATACAATGTTTCTAAAACACAGAATCCAGCTCCAAGTCACTTTCCGTGCAGAGATTGGTGTCCACGTTTGCCCAGATCGTTGTCCTCTATGCCACTAAGAGCACTAGGGACACAGTTATGCCCAGAGTGTAACTTTTGTCTCTAGGACGTTCTTCTAAGCTATTGACCCTTATTCCACAAGTTTTGAAACTCGCACTTTATCTTACAGAAAAATCAATGAAAGGTTTTTAGACAATAACCAGGATTTACGATGCTTCCTCAGATAGTCATTATGATTCCTTCTCAAATGGTTTGTTGACTGAGAAGCCAAGGGATTACAGTTAGACAACCATCACGCAACGAGATTCCTGCATGCACAGGCCATGCCATCTACGTCATGACTGCTACCTTCACCGGCAATTGTAAGACACCATTGATCGCTCCATTTTCATAAACGTTAAAATGTGAAAAATGATGTGCATTAGAGGAGCTGAAATACAGTACTGTTAACACTAATAGCTAGCCTTTCATGAGTGACTGCTATTTGTCAAGTACTTTTTATATTTTTCATACACATTATATCATTTAATCCTTAATATAATCCTATGAAGTAGATGTTATTATTTGAATATATAGATGAAAATTAAACAACTTGTTCCAAGAACAGACATCTAGTAAGTGGCAGATTTGGTGTTTAAACTTAGTTCTCTCTCGTTCCACAGCCCGTGTTTTTTCCATAGGTATCTGGTTGTAAATATTTAAGCAGAAAATACCAGAAGAGAGGGTGACTCAATCATATGGAAAAAGATAATTTCTCCATCAACAGTTTCCTTGAATAACAGACAGAGCAAAGAGCAACAGTGTGAACAAATGTCAGATTTGTATATTTGTGGATTATCATAAAATTTTCAGAAAAGGAGAGAGATGAAACAATATCTCCTATTTGAGGAAGAGAAAAAAAGTGCTGAATCAGCTAGAAGCTGTCATGACTGCTGAAGAAACATTTTCTGGAACATGCTGTATGTCACAAATAATCACTTTATTTTTCTCCAAATCAACAAAACACTCTGCAATTTTCAAAGAGAGGAAAGTTCATCTATACCTAATATACAATAAAGAGTGAATTTGGACAAAGACAGTAGGTGTTTTGTTTGCATTGTTTTTATTTTTATTAATTAAATATCCTTTTCACAAATCTGTGAATCTTTGTCTCACTAAAATCAGAAACCAATATGAACACAACGCACCTTTAACTTTTAGCTTATTAATGTTAAACTATTTTCTATACTTTGAACCAAAGTAGTTAATAAAAAAATTAAATTGATTCTCCTGTGGAAATATCTCTCCCTATCTTCATAAGACACAAATGTTTTTTTCCATAAGCTATTTTTATGTGCATGTAGAGGCTACAACATTCCCTGAAGAATAATTTTGTTGGCAGACATGAAACAAAGTGGCTGGGCCGAGCATCATATTCTCTATATTTGCACTCCTAGAAGAAAATATAGGGAAAAAGCTCCTTGACATTGGTCTTGGCAATAATTTTTTGGATATGACACACCAAAAGCACAGGCAACAAAAGCAAAAATAACAAGTGGGACTACCTCGAACTAAAAGCTTCAAAGGAAACCATTACCAAAATGAAAAGGCAACCTACACAACGGGAGAAAATATTTGCAAACCATATATATGATAAAGAGTTAATATCTAAAATGCATACCCGCAGGAAAACAAAATCAGTATCTTGAAGAGTTATCTGTACTCCCATGTTTATTACAGCATTATTCATAAGAGCTAAAATATAGAAACAACCTAAGTATCCATTGATGTAGGAATGGATAAAGAAAATGTAATATACATATTCCTGTGTAATATATATATATGTATACAGAAAGGAACATTATTCAGCCATAAAAAAGAAGGAAATCTTACCATTTGTGACAACATGCATGAATCTGGAGCACATTATGCTAAGTGAAATAATCCAGACTGAGAAAGACAAATACTGTATGATCTCCCTCATAATGTGGAATCTAAAAAAAGTGGAACTTATCAAAACAGAGAGTAGAATGGTGGTTGTCAGGGGCCGGGGTGAGGGAAATGGGGAGATGTTGTTCAAAGGGTACTTTTTTTCAGTTATAAGATGAATAAATTATGGGGATCTAATGTACAGCATGGTGACTACAGTTAAGAACACCATATTGTATGCTCAAAATTTGCTGAGAGAGTAAATCTTAAGCATTCTCATCACAAACACACAAAAAAGTCACTAAGTGAGGTGCTGAATTGTGAATCAATCTGATTGCGGTAATCATTTCACAATGTATACGTATATCACATCATCGGATTGAACACTTTAAATATGTACAATTTTGTTTGTCAATTATGCCTCAAAAAAGCTAAAAAAAAGATTTAAAAGAAAAGCAAAAAATGTATAATTGTTGTTGATTTCTTCCCCAAAAATATGTTCAAAGAGAAAGAAGTTTCCGTAAGCTGTACATAATGTGCATGTGTGTGTAGCAATTTATACATTTTAAAGGAAATGGAACTGAACTAATAAGATGTTACTTTTTCAATAGAAAGGAAAATTTGGAGAAATTATAAACAAAGTCAAACAATAGGAAAAACTCAGTACTATCAAGTATTCTATTTTTAAGTACTCCACAAACATGCTAATAACAAGGCAGAATCCATTTTCATTTAAGGGACATCTAAATTGTATCGAAAGATTTTAAGGTGAATTTTAAGGAAAATATTCTGAACGGTAGAGTTTAATCTTATATCAGTTAATAAAAATTGCGTTGTGGCTTTATAAAATCCATATGTTCGCCTAATGACATTTACTCTTCCTTATAGGTAAATCATTTAGTTGACTGATGCACATACAGATATAGCAATATACGTAATGCTTAACAAGTAGTGATACGGTAATGAAGAATATCACAAACTCAGAACATCAATACTGAATCCACATCAGTTAGCCCAATCTGTGTACAATATAAATGAAAACAAGTGCACTGTTCTACAATAACCTCAGCTTTATAGAATAAACTATGAGTCTTCTGAAAACATAAGCTGTAAAAGATTCAGCGTTAAGTATTATGTCCTTGGATATTCATAAATTCTTTTGTGGGCATGCCTATAAACGTCTCTATATTTTTAAAGAATGTATTTCAAGTGTTCTAACATGCAGAGGAAGTCAGCATTTTTTCATAATATGTAATCAAAAAAACAGCTTTCAAGTACAACCATTTTTTTCTCTTTTTGTATAAGTGCATTGCATTTTTAAAGAAGATTACCACCTTATCTTCTGAATCTCTCCAAACTGTATGAAAATTATACAGTTTTTCTCTTTCCAGGCATAAAAATATCAAACATGCAAATCTTATGTTAAGTGGAGTTTTGCTACCAACCTGAGTCCATGGACCAACAGCAATGGCATTGCCTAGGAGCTTGTTAGAGATGCAGAATCTCAGTTCCCACCCAGACCTACTAAATGAGAATCTGCATCTTTAATAAGATCCCCAGGAGATTTCATTACACATAAAGTTTGAGAAGCACTGATTTAGGATATTTCATTAATTGACCTAATTTTCTATGAATTAAAAATATCTAAACAACTAGTATATAAGTAAGTATTCCACATGTATCCTTTATTTTAGCAATATTCAAGATTTAGTGTGTAACAAAATCACGAAGGGAACTTGGTAAAAAATGCAGATTTTCAAGTTTTTCCTCAGAGTTTAGAACGCAGTAGGTCTAGGATCAGGCCTGATTGCCCCAAACCACTACTCCCCCGAACAGAATTAAAGCTAATGATAATATTTCTCGTTAACAGCTCTAAATCATAGCAAAGTACCTAACACATAAGGAAGTCACATGCAGACTATTTCTGTTAAATTTTGAAACATTTCAAACTTTTTCTGAAACTGTTAGTTATAGAATCAAAAATTTGCCATTGAATGGGCCTGATTCCATTCATTGAACATAATGAAAGCATTCTTTTTTTTTCTTCCTCCCTCAAGGAATACCATTATTTCAGCCAAAGGATAACAAAGTAATTTACGGGAGACCTTAACGAGCTGACACGGCCCCCATTGGAATCAACTGCTTGTGCTAGAAAATAAGAACAATATATTCTGCAAAGTATTTATGATAACTCTCCACAGGTCTCAAACACAAATGCATCCAGGAGCCATCAGGTAACCAATGGGAGCAACTAGGAACGTGACACCCCGATTATACAAATTCAAGTTCAAAACGTAAAAACCTCCCACACAGAACAAACAAGAACACCTCTGTGGGCAGCATTCAGCCCATGACGTGCTGGTTTCCAGTATCTGTACTAGCATGGTTTTTTTAGTTAATTCTCCAGTGACATCCCAAAGGGCATATTTTTATTATTAATTTGCCCATATGGCTTACTTGGGGACTTATGGGAACTTTGTCGCAGTTTGGATGTTACTTGCAGCAGCAAAACATGGTGATATGCCAGGCCTGTAATCTACATCAGGTTGACGAAGCCGAGTGGATTTTTAAAGACACAACAAATAACTGTGGCTATGATCTATGGGTTTGCATAGCCCTATTTTTTTCCTAACAAGTTTTGTCATGGAGCCACACAGAAGATGTTCAGTTTGCATTCTTTTTTCTACACTATACACCATCTTCAGAGAAATAAAAATCAGAATTTTCATGGAATACACAAAATTCTTCACCTCACTTGAGATTTGTGTTCATCTCACTTGTTATTGCTTGTTAGGTATAAGTGTATAATGCTAATTTACTTTGGTGCTTTGATTCTGCATGCTTATGAAAGATTAAAGATGCCAAGAAACACCACTGTTCCCAAATTTTACCTAGAGGTATCTTTACACACAACTGTTAAAATGAAAAACAGAGGTGTTCACATGTTCAATTAGTATTTTTATTTTAAATACCAGCACAACAAACACAATGACATGACAGGACCATTACTTCAATAATACTAATAACATTCCTTGACAAATTAGCTTATAATTTACATACATTGTTTTTATCTGGAGCTATTTTAAATATTATGTTAAGATATACTGTAAAACACAAGTCTTAAATATATACCAGTTGCCAACATAATGTGCTTAGTTACTATTTTCCTTGTTGTTCAAATGAAATGATTTAAAGTTCCTCAAAATCATGTCCACTTGTGTTCATTGTTTCAGGATGCATGACTCGTCCCATGAATAGGATTGTACCTACATTGGGTTGGAAGTGAACAAAAGAGGAGGTGAACAAAAGAAAAGAATGGGAGAGTTATTTTCCTTCTTGCTTACAATTAGCAATGTTCTAAAAATGAAGATATTAATAAATTATTTTCATTTAAAAAATCAATTGAACATTAGAAATTATCGGACAAATAATGTGGAAAAAAATGTTCTCACTTTTAAAAAATGATTTCTTTTTGGCCTATTAAATAAAGTTCTGTTCTCATAACAGACTTACCTGTTCTCCTGTTCCTGATAAGAAAGAAAAATGGATGGTCGACAATAACTTGAGGATACAGCACAGCCATCCTGCTAATTGCAATCATTCCTACAGTGCAGAGAGAAAGTAATTACATGTCTGTGGATGTGCAGGGACTAGTGAGTAATTTCTCCAAACCATCTACGTTTAATGCAAAGGCAACAAATTACAGGAAACAAGATTTTAAAGATTTAAAGAGAGAAAAACTATAAAGGTGTTAACATTTCTACTTGATCTTTAAAAAACCAAATATATACACACATACAGTCTCCTCCTTCCACCCCACCAAAAATAACAGGACAATTTATTCTGCCTGTCACAAAATTTTTATTTTCAGTCTTAGATAAATACTTATGGCTTTACTAAAATGACCTTTCAGTTAAGAGAAGGAGGAGAAGAAAAAAAAAACCCAATCAAAAAACGAAGACAGTTTTTTTTATACTCTCAAATCATTATTTCTTTTGTCTGAAATGAGGATTTTTACATAGCAAGTCACCAGGCTTCTAGTAAGTGGCTAGAACATCAGTGATTAAAGGACAAATACAGCAGTGAGAGCTGTATGGTGTTTCCTACAGCTGGGAAACCGAATTCCCCTGAGATTCTTATAATGGGATCATCGTTTTAGTCTTGCTGCAGGGTGATTCATTGTCAGGAAAAGGTCAAGATTAAATTATGTAAGATTTTAAGCTTTCTTGATGCCTGAGACCACTGTGTTTCTATTTCCTCCTGTAAACAGTTTTAACTGGTGATATCTTTTTAATGGACAAATGTTTGCATAGGTTAAAAATAATATGGTTAAATATGATACGTTACATTTTACCAGAGAAGAGAAAAATACTACTAAAATTTGATGATAGCTGTTGAACATGAGATGGAAATAAATAAATGGAAAAAAAGTCAATGGAAAAATTACTCTCACTTGATGAGAGAAGACAGAACATTCAAAATAATCAAGGACATTTACCCTTTTGCTTTGGATATATGATTTAGGTCAAAATTTTAAAATTATTTAAAATTATTATTTTATTAATATTATTTTTAGTTAAAATTATTTATTACATGCTATCATATACTCTTGTTTATGCATGTGCTTTTAAAAAAACAAAAACTTTTCACTGAAAAAATTAAGAACTAACTTCCACAATTAATTAGGTAGGAAGAAAAATATTTAGGGCAGCAAAGAAATATTTAAAATATTTCAACAGGCAGCACAGTAGGAAAATCTATTCTACAGAGCTGCCAATGTCCTCCTGCCTCTCATTAGAGATGAGAGTTACTCTGTATCGGGGCATTAAGTGAGGGCATACTTCACATCCCATTTAGAAAACACTAGCTGGTTCAGCATTAGCTTGATTTCTAAGTTAGAGCAGAGTCAGGTTTTTGGCTTGGTTCTAAAAATGACCCTCGTCCTCCACTCAAGATTGCTTCAAAAATAAAAATCTAGAAAAGGTAAGAAGATTCTAGAAAACAATAACTTGGCACCTGAGGCGGCAGCAGCTTCTGAGCCTTCTTCATTAACCTCTATGAAGGACTTGTGAATTGCTTTGGAAAGGAAAATTTCTTTGTTATCTGCAAAAAAGAGATAACAGAAGCATTTCTTCAGTATCAGAGATAGGGAAGCATTTTACCCTTTAGTTCAACAGATTTGAGAAATATAAGCGACATAAGATACCCATATAAAACATAAGAGATAACATTGTAAGATTACATTTATGATTTGAGAGAACTGTTGAAGATGTGTTTTCTGATTTTCTTATGTTGTATTCTCTTGTTAATTTTATTGGTAATTTCATTTTTATTGGTAATTTTCCCATTGTTTATTTCTTACATTGCCAGAAAAAAAGCAGAAACATGGGTCTGTTTTTAATAGCAACTTCAAATTAGTTCATAACTCAAGATAAAAACCTCTCTAAGTTGTGTTCTAATCTGAAATTTAAAAACACAAAATGAAAACAGGTAGAAATTCAGATATAACCAGAATAAGAAATTTTTAAAAACTTAATCTCTAATTACTGTGAAAATATAAATATTCCTGGCAAAGAAAAATAAAATTGACTTCTAGGTTGTAGAAATGTGAATATATAAAAAAGTTACTTCCCATTCCAGTTAATTGGTTTCTCTGAGGATTCACCAACATGCTTTATCCTAAGGTCAGAGGAAATAATACATTTTCAGTATAAGAGAACTGTTTTTCTCTTTGAATTGTCTATTTCTGCTTACTTTTAAATTAATGGCTATTAGGGGCTGAACTGTGTTCTCTCAAAATTCATATGTTCAAGTCCTAACCCCCAAGACTTCAGAATGTGACTGAATTTGGCGCTAACCCACTATGACTTGTGTCCTTATCAAAAGAGGAAATTCAGACACACAAAGCTACACAGGAAAGACCATGCACGGTGGCTAATTTTATGTGTCAGCTTGGCTGGGCCACAGTGCCCAGATATTTGGTCAAACATTATTTTGGATGAGATTAACATTTAAATTGGTGGACTTTGAGTAAAGCAGATTACCCTCACTAGGTGAGTGGGCCCCATCCAATCAGCTGAAGGTCTTAATAGGACAAAGACTGACCTCTTGCAAGTAAGAAGGAATTCTGCTGGTCAACTACCTTTGGACTCTTCCCTGAGCCTCCAGTCTGCAGCCTACCCTGCAGATTCTAGATTTCCAAAGTCTCCACAACTGTGCAAGCCAATTCCTTAAAATAAATCTCTGAATCTCTCTCCCTCTCTCTCTGTAAATGTGTATATATATACATTCTATTGGTTCAGTTTATCTGGAGAACGCTGACTAATACAACATGTGAAGACAAAGGCAGAACACGACCATCTATAAGCCAAAGAGAAGGGCCTCAGAAGAAACCATCCTGAAGAAGTCTTGATCTTGGACTTGTAGCCTCCAGACTGTGAGAAAATAAATGTCTGTTGCTTAAGCCACTCAGCCTGTGGGACTCTGTTATGGCAGCCCTGGCAAACTATACAATAGCTTTCAGTCTTGGGTTTCCAAATTTGCCCCAAGACTAAAACAAAACAAACAAAAGATACCTCAAATACATAAAAAGGAAATAGCACAAGGAAGCAAGATAAAGGATTACTCAAGTTTATACCTTTTTTTTCAATTCCAGGAGGTCTAATTCAAATTTAAGATAAACAATTTTGTTGCTGATGCCCAGCACCATTCAGTAAAAGCACAACTGATTTCCCATTAGGCTACTTAGTAAGACTGTAAGTAACCAAGTCCTACCCATAACATACGTTTTCCTTTCAAGTTTTCAAAAACACATAATCATCTTATATGGATGGGGAATGATATTCAACAACATTGTTGAACATCAGTACATCTTTTGCACAGCACCTGATTATTTTGAATAAGCCCCAAGACAACTGAGTGGCATCTCTGAATATACTTTTAATAGGGATATTACTTCCGCAGCTCATTTTTAGTATTAAGATATAAGCACTGCATTATGAAATAGTCCATCTCAAACATTAGGACCTTTTCTTCTAGAATGCACTTGATGGCTAGAAGAAAAATAAAAAGCAATAAAGTTTTGACATTAAACAATTAAATATAATGTTAATCTCATATATATTAATCTCATATATATATATATATATATGCACATCTTTGATAGATGTATAATCTGTGAACCCCCTTCCACAAATAAGATACAGAATATTTCTATCTCCCCCAAAAGATTCTTGTGCTTCTTTATGCAGATAACTGAAAATGAACAGGTTTCCCATTAACTGGACAATTTTATAAAAATGTATTAATGGGGCTGGCCCGGTGGTGTAGTGGTTAAGTTTGTGTGCTCTGCTTCAGTGGCCTGGGTTTCATGGGTTCAGATCCTGGGCGCGGACCTACTCACTGCTCATCAAGCCATGCTGTAGCGGTGTCCCACATACAAAATAGAGGAAAACTGGCACAGAGGTTAGCTCAGGGACAATCTTCCTCAAGCAAAAAGGGAAGACTGGCAACAGATGTTAGCTCAGGGCCAATCTTCCTCAGCAAAAAAAAAAAAAAAAAGGATAAATTATAAAATTCTATCAAGGAAAAAATAGAATATCTGAATAATCCAGTAACCATTAAAGTAGTTAAATCAGTAGACAAAAACTTCTCCCATCCTCAAAATTAAAGACTCCAAGCCTAGATAGTTTTCTAAGTGACTTTAACCAAACCTTCAAGGAACAGACAGAAATTTCTGTTATAAAACTATTCTAGACTCTATAAAGAGAATGAAAGCAATCTAAGCCATCTACAGGTAGTCTTACTTTGCTATTAAAATTGAAGAAGAGCAATCTAAGAAAAGAAAACCATAGACCAAACTCACCTATTAAGATGGAGGTAAAAGTTCTTTAAAAATCAGGAAATTAAACCCAGCAACATATACAAATAATTTTTTAAAATGAGTTTCAAGGGACATCACAATGGATTATGACAGCAGTTGAGAGCTGCTCTAACTGCCCCCAGTTCACATTAACGCTTCCTCTGAAATGATCTTATCAAATACAAACCAATTTAGGCCACTACCCTACTTAAAACCCTTTCCCCTTTCCTGCTTGCTCTGCCTCCCAGGTTGATATCTTCAGTAGGTATCTTCAGTCTATTGGATACCTGCATACCTGCTCAGTATGTATTATGAGGACCTCCATGAGGTTGCCTCCACTTCATTCATTTAGCATCCTTCACTCCATACACTGTGCTCCAGATAATGTGAACTGCAGTAACCTGCACATACCACACTTGATCACTTCTGTGTCTTTGCTGCCCCAGAAACTCACTTAACCTTGTACACTCAGACACCTACTCTACTTTCAAGGCTCAGCTTTGATCCTTATCAGGGCTTTTCTGCTCTCTTCTGATTCCTATCCCCCACTAAAGTAGAACTGACCACTCTTTCCCACTGAATCTAGGATCTAATTCTATTGAAGCCTTTATAATATATCATATTTGCATTGATATCTCTCTCTTCCTGGACTGTCAATTTCCTTAAGGCAAGGATTGTGTCATTCCCCTTAGTATCCCCGGCTTCTGGCATTTAGTGGGACGAATGAATGAACTAACCTAAGTAGAGGGAGTTTCCTGTTAATGTGTAATTTTCCAGTATTCAACCCAGCATAAACAGGAACTTAGTAATTTTTGAATGAAAAGGGGTAGCTATTTCATATTGTAAGTCTTTGGGCGTTGTCACTCTATGGAAACCATGACCACAATTCTGTTCACAACTATGGCTATAAAGTTTATTCTTGTAATAAATAAAACATATAACACTAATCCAAAGTAGATGCTCTAGGAAAATTGATGGAGAATAGCACCAGATGTGGAAAGAATACAAAGACCACACACACACTAAAAAACTAAAAATCTAATCCAGCAGAAGAGCAAAGGGAATGCGATGTGACAGACTAGTGTCATCACTTATATTTCAAAGACAGCAAAATAAAGATCAAATCCAGTGTTCCAACTCCCAGAGGTGATTAACTGCTACACGACAGACAGCAAATGCCTACAGATGTAAACGAGACCTCAGGACACTTAACCTTCAGAAAAACACCACCCTTTTGCATATACAAGTAGGAGAAAATGTAATGAATAAGAAATCACATCACAGATATCGAAGGAAAAAAAGGAAAATGAAACTTTTTTCTCTTGGGACAAACTTCAAGCAGTCACATTAAAATAAAATATAAGCTGAGAGTGGTTTAAGCAGGACTGTGTCTGCTGCACAAAGTCTGAGAAGGAGACCCGGTCATGCAGGAATGCGGGCGAGTTCACAGGTTCCTATGGTTGCCCTCCAATACTGCTCATTCTTGTGTAATTATGTGCCAATCAAGGCATCTTTCCTGCTAGGCCACACACTTACTCCTTGAAGGCCTGGACGTTGCTGTCCTATTCATCTTCTTTCCACTATTCTTTGCACACTGCCAGGCACCAAGTACACACTCAGACATTTGATGAATCAGAGTGTGAGGGGAATTAAGGAGATGTACACTGATGAGCTTGTCTTACCGGCTAGAGAAAAGTTAACTATTTTCTAAAAATGAAAATAAATAAATCAAAGGCAAACAGAGCTACAAAAAAAAAAAAAAAAAAAATCCATACTCTGGCCCCAACCACTCTTCTCCTTCTGGCCACAGCAGACATTGCTGCCAAATGACTGGTCCTACTTTCCTCTGGGCAGCATGGAGCCAGGCTTTTCACAATGGATAGGATGGGAACAGGGCCAGCAAACCCTAGGTTCCCCAGAGAAGAGCTGGGCAAGAATTCAAGCTCTTCTGAAGAAAGCAGGGCAAAATACTAAGGCATTCATTCAGACACTGAGCAAATATTTATCAAGGACCCTGTTCACATGAGGTATTGTGCAGAGCACTAAAGGCTCTAAGTATCCGTGACTAACACAATGCTGGCAGGATAGCCACCATGCAAGTGGATGCCACTACTTCCTTTGTGGCACTGTTCCTAAACACAGCCAATTTAAATAGATTTCTGCGTCACCAAGGACATGCTTAGAATAACAACATGAAGAGAGTTCCATAATAGACCTCTAGAATACCCAAAGTGTCTCCGTA